GTGATGAACTTTAGTTCTTCTGTAGAGAGAGAGGGGTAAATGAATTTAGCTAGATAATTAAGTTATCAAGGGTTAAAGTGTTTATAGTGGGTATGGGATAATTAGGCCCGGGTCTGCATGTGCTAAAGTGGTTCCAAAAATTATTGTGCATGAGGATATATATATATGTCTTTATGCATAGGTGATGATGGCAATGATTATTTATTTATGGGAAAGGTTTTGTGGTGGTGGTGTTTATCCTGGAAACGGAAGCAATTTGAGTAGGCTATGCGTGAGGTGGAAGTAGGTTATTTAAATAGAATGTTAGCGTCGGGTTTAGTAACATGTACGAGTAGAGTTCTAAATATAAATAAAACAGAAAACAAAACCATTACATTACATTGTTATTTTAAATTATACGATTAGTAGTTAATTGGTTGTCTACGGTTAATGGGTGATTGATATTGAATCAAATGTGGTTTTGTAACTTCTTAAAGGTGACAACGAGCATGCCAGAGCTGCAAGGAAGGGCAAGGGTATAGCGGAATAGAAAATGTGTTGTGAGTAAACTATAACCTATTAACCGTATGGATACAAATATGGTATTCGGGTCATGAAGCGGCCTGAATATAAAATATGAAATGTGGAATTAATCGATGGCGATGACTATATATATGTGTGTGAATGAAATGATATGTGATAAATGATGGGTGGATGTGATGTTCGTATGACTATTTGATAATATGTGTGATGTGTATGTGATATGAAATTGCCTAAAAGGGATATATTACAATACAGAGAAGACTATGAGGCAGTGATGGAATAATGAATGGCCTGAATGACTATTCGAGGATACTGGGATAGCCTAATTGGCTATCGTGTGATTACTGGAAAGCCTATAAGGTGGAAATGTGAGATTGAAGCCTATAAGGTGACGATGTGATTATATAAATGGTGAATGTGACTATGTGAATGTTATGAATATGTGAATAGACACGTGTGAAATGATTGATGATACTGTTTGGTACTTGTTATGTGACTAACTAAAGAATTGTCTGATCACCTAAATCAAACTTAATGGCGCCATGTCATGCACTCTATGAGATTCGATAATGCGGCTTTATGCCTAGCTCTCTAGGAGAGCGATACCAGGCCTGGTCATTGGCGATGCTTAATGCATCTATTGATGGTGCTTTATGCATCTATTGGCGGTGCTTAATGCATCTATTGGCGGTGCTTTATGCATCTATTGGCGGTGCTTAATGCATCTATTGGCGGTGCTTTATGCATCTACTGGATATACCCGGGAGAGTGCATGACTTGGCAATTTAAAGGCAAAAAGATACGTAATCTGGCTAACCCTATGTGTGTATGAATGGGTGTACTAGTGTGTGTGTGTGTGATTGACTATTGAATTGTGCATGGTTACATGTATGGTATACCCGGAGCAATGTAAATACTGAAATTGGTTATCTCGGGAAACTAAGAGATTAAGCATAGGGTTTGACTTCACCAGATATTATATTTGCATTGATACTGTTGATAGGTTAGCTTTTACTCATTGAGGTGACGTCTCATCCCCGTCAAAAAATTTCCCCAGATTAGAAGTTTTGGACTAGAAGTCAAGAAAACTCGGCAAGGCTCAGTTCGGCATCAATGAGGTGGGATGGTGGACTCAGACTCCGACATGACTTGTTTATAGTATTTTGAGAGAAGATGGTCTTCTCTACTGTCATGTGTTTAGAAGTTTTAAATGTTTATGTAAATTATGGTTTGGTTTGTAAGCTAAACAAAATTGTGAAAGGTTTTAATCGGTACGATCATGTGAATGTTTTAAAGAATGCATGGGTGTTACATAACTAGCTAGAGATAGGTTGTTGGTCACACCCCTAACCTACAAGTATTAACTAGGCGAGAATCTAACGAGTAGGGGATGGTCACCTCGATCTCTAGATACCCCTATAGGTCAACTAATAAATGTAAGAAGCATTCACACACATCTAACCCTAATTAGAAGCATTAAGTACCCTAGTCAAACTCAACTATACCATAAATTCATGTGCAAGGTAATGGCAATTCCCCTATTATCTAGGTTACAACTAATGAAATGGGATACAAACAATCTCACACTAATTGATATCTAAAGCACTATTGCCCAAGGGAATGAAACTATCACCTAGTTTAAGAACAAATCAACCATAATCAAGCAAGAGCTTTATTGACAAACATAAAATAGACATAGATTATAGGTTCATAATCATTCATACACATGACCATAAACAATCTATAAACTGGGGGTTATCTTCCCCAAAATAGCCTTAGGGACTCAAGTCATATAGAGAGAAAGAAAATACAAAGTAAGAAGAGGAGGAATGTTGGAAATCATCTTTTATTCCTTGGCTTGCACCTTCTCCTTGCTGCTTGGATGGATTGGATCTTCTTCTAAGGTGTCTCTCTCTAAAAATTGATCGAAAAGCCTAATTTATCCCTATAGGTCAGCGCTCTTATCTTTCTCCAATAGCTACTCTATTTATAGCCCTTGGAAATCTCGGGCAATTTCATGATTGCAAGTGGTAGATCATGGCCAACTGGGTGTGACGCCCACAATCTTGCAGCTTCTTCGCTTAGTTTGGGAAAGGTGGGAGATTGCGCCATGATTTCGCGACCGCAAACTTTGTCTCTCGACCGTTTTTCATGCCTTCAAATAGCGGGGGCTGCAATCCGCCTCATGAATCTCTATGGTCTCTTCTAGACGTATCTTGCTGAAGTTCGCGAATGAGAGGCACGAGATCGCTATCCGGATCTTACTTCTTCAGCCCATGGTCTCGTACTTGACTTCGCAAGCTTGGTTTCTCGGCCATGACCATGCTCCTTTGGCTACGAACTTTGTGTTTGCTCCGTTTTCCTACACATTGGCCCCCTTTTCTCCCTTTTTTCACTTGCAATGTCAAATGCGACCTAAAATGACATGATATGACAAAAGAAAGAGTTCTAGGCTACAAATGACGTTATATATATAATCTTGCTCAAAATGACATAAAAATACCTAATGAATGGAGGCTAAACAACACCATTTGGGTGTTGTCAAAGCATTTTCACTTCTTACTCTCTTAACTGAATGTGTGTAATCTTCAAGCTCTAGCTTGCGGAGGAATATTGAACCAGCAGTCTCGATTCAACGTCGGCTCACTTTGGAGTAGTCACATGTCCTACTAAAGACTCTCTTATTTACATATCACATGAATGTCAATAAGATGGAACCCTATATTATTATTTTTTTGGAAAGATGTAACCCTACCTAGTTGATTGTGAGTAGAGCTGTCAAAATTGAACCCGATCCGACTAACCCGCCCAGCCCACCCGACCCACAACCCGTCCATAACCCGATTTGACAAAAAGTCAACCACCTGAAGCCTGCCCGTAACCCGAAACAAATTGACCCGTAATCCGATCAACCCATAACTCGATGAACTCATTATCTGATCCAACCCATAACCTGACCTATCTATAACCCGAATGATTTATAACCCAAATAATCCGTAACCGAACCGAACCCAACTCGAATAACCCGAATAACCCATTTGACCCGAATGTTTGTACAAAAATTCAATGTATACATTATTATATTTTTAAATTTATCAAGAAAGAACTGTTGTTCTCATAATAATTGAAAACTGTTTATAGAATTGACGGTATAAATTGAGGTTTTTTCTTAAATATTTAATTTTTAAAATAATAATATGTGAAATATCTTTTCATTAATTTTTTATTTTATGAAATTCAAAGGATAATTTTTTTGAAGATAATAGGAAGAGTTGGACACAAATTCGTATCTTCATCACCCATAACTAAATTAAAAAAATCAACCCTTGAAAATCAATGAAAACCCCAAAATCAATGATCCCTATCAAGATATATAAGTGGATAGTTTACCCTTTTTACTTCATTCTCAACTTTTTACTGATTTTATTTATTTTTTATAAATTAATAAATCGACGATTCGAAATAAATGATAATATCATATTTGAGTGAACCGTTGTTCGACCCATGAGTTTTAGGATAAGATGTTACCGTGAATATATAAAAAATTGTGAAGATATATAAGTGGGTGATTCGGAATGATGTTCATAAGTCTTCGTGGAAATGAAGAGACACACATCTATTTCATACTATATTTAATTAAGACGATTCATTTCGAGATGTATAAGCATATAGTCTGCCTTTTTTACTTCATTCTCAAATTTTTACTGATTCAATTTTTTTTATAAATTAATAAAATAAGCGAAGTTACAATCTCTCGCCATAAAAAAAATTATAACGAACAACAAAGCTTTTATATACACTATTTTATTTATATTTAGTTTTTATACTAATATAATGGATATTTAATTTGTATGTGCAAAATATTATCATATTATCATTTTCTTAAATTTTGTATCATTACCTACAATTTATATTCATATATTGATAGTTTGTAAAACATTATTTTCTATCAAGAAGTAAATGATCCAATGGTTTGACCCGAATAACCCATAATCCGACCTGACCGAACCCGAGTTAACCCGCAATCCAATAAACCCGTAATTTGATGCACCCGTAACCCGACCCGATCCGTAACCCAATTAACCAATGACCTGATTGACTCGTAACCCAATTGACCTGCAACCCAATTAAACCCAATCCAAATTGAAACCGACCCGATTGAACTCACAACCCGATTGAAACCAACTCGGTTAGACCCAATCCGAACCCGATCCAACCCGCCCAATTGACACCTCTAATTGTGAGAAAAAGGGTATAAGAGAGGTAGTAGAGCTTATTTGCCAAACTTAATCACAATAATAAGAAAATTTAACTAAAGGTGTGAACGAAGCTATGGCCGAGTGGTTGTGCCACTAATTTTCAGCCTGTATCCCTCAGGGACGACACTCATTTCCCATTCCTCACTCCTCTAGTAACACCGTGTAACAGTTTATTGTCGAATTAACGAAATGTATTACAAACACATGGACTACTCATGATCATCGAGGATACTAAGCAAATCTAGTCTTTTTCAGGCTTTGGCAAGTAGGCCTAATAAAATAATTTGAAGCATATATTTTAAACCACGGTTGTTCGGTCCCATGGATTGACATTCACAAGCTGACTAATATATACTAGGAGAGTTGTCCCGCGAGGAAAGAAGGGATAGGCCGCTAAACAGAACGAACAATATCTCTTTCCTCTGTTCATTTGTTTGATGGAGAAGAATACCCAGGAAGCCACGCCGCCGACGACTACAGCCGGCAAGATCATAAGATGCAAAGGTCCTTAATTAATGAATTGAGACTACTCTTCATTTGTTTCTTCAATTTTCCCCCCCTTAATTCCATTTTAATTATGTGGGAGTTTGAAGATCAGTCTTACTGAATTAATTATTTCCGGCGGCTGGGGAAAAATATATAGCCGCGATATGTAGAAACCCTGGAGAGGCCCTGGTGGTGGAGGAGATCGAGGTGGAGCCGCCGAAAGCATGGGAAGTCCGCCTCAAGATCCTCTGCACCTCCCTCTGCCACAGTGACGTCACCTTCTGGAAGATGAAACCCGTAAGCCCCCCCAAGCCTCACGTCAGCAGCGAGAGTTACGTTGTTTCTTGTTAATTAATTTCATTTGATTTGATTTGAATTCAGGGAGCAGTGTCGGCGTTCCCGAGAATTCTGGGTCACGAGGCGGTGGGAGTGGTGGAGAGCGTCGGGGAGAAAGTGGAAGGATGGAGGGAAGGGGAGAGAGCGCTGCCGGTGTTCGCGCCGGACTGCGAGGACTGCCGGGACTGCAGATCGGCGAAGAGCAACATGTGCGCCTCCTTCGGCCGCCGGGGTATGGTTGGGTTTGGGATGCTCCGAGATGGGACCAGCCGCTTCCGGGACGGTTCGACCGGCGAGGTTTTGCACCATTTCCTCGGAGTTTCCAGCTTCTCCGAGTACACGGTGGTGGACGTCGTTAATTTGGTTAAGATCGGAGTCGATATCCCCGTCGACAAGGCCTGCTTGCTCAGCTGCGGCGTCTCCACAGGTAATTTTACATTTTCCTCCTCATTTACGTACCGTATTATTAAGTAATAATAATAATAATAATAATAATTTTATCATCATATATATCAGAAATCACGTCGTCCTCCAAGGGTCGTTGGACTGGTCGATATAGTCACTAACCTTATGCCGGATGTTACGTCTTTTCCTTTGGGGGGGAAACAAACGTGACAATAGTTAAAGAAATAGATGGGGGGATAGAAAACGGCATATGTTGTGGGAGGGGCTCAACTGATGACAGATTACGTTTTTTGTTTTGTTTTCATATAGGATAAATAAATAAAAGAAAATAGTCCAGCCTAGCATATTGTATTCTTTTGCGTTTACGCTCTCAACGTGCGAAAAGTTTTATTATTTGAATCATGAATTAACCAGAGTTTGATAGATGATATTATACCCTAATATTTAATGAATGAACTCCCATTTCTAATTTTGTAACTCAAATCACAAAATTAATTTAATTAAAAAATAATAATCGATGATTCTAATTTATCGAAGGGTTTTGAATTACTAGGGATTATATCCCATAAAGTTGACATTCTGTCAATGAATGAATTGTGCCTTCGTCACTTGCATATTTATTGATGATGCCTCTCGTAAAAAAAAAATCAAAAGGAAATGCGCCCTTGCAAAGACCAAAAAAAAAAACTACTTAAAAATCTAGCCAGAAAAAATCCCATACCAAATGTTTTACATGAGATATTTGGGGTGTCACCGGTATAGTTTTAACTTTTAAATGCAAGTTTTAAAGAGTATTTTCATTTAATGTTATGCTAATAATAAATGTCATTATAAAATGCTAATTGATTTGCAAGTGATTGCCTAGTGAGATTCGTGGAAAAAGAAATTAGTCTAGATTGCAATAATGAAAAAAAAATTATACATATTTTATTAACTTAGGTAAACATTTTTAATTGATTATGAAAATGAAACTTGTATTACTCGTATATTTTTTATTCGGAATTGTATTACAGGTGTATTAGACTCATTTTTTTTAATATCTACATTATTTATGTTCTATAAAGATATCCCTCAAGTTCTAGATATAGTTAGAAATACAAAAATAATACATTCGAGAATTGGAACGATTTATCGGCTCCTCTGGTTCAATCTCTTTAACCTAAATTTCTTAGTCCCCCTACTTAGATTTATAATTTTTCCACTATTTCTCTTGTCGTGAGACAGAGGCCTTTTCCATATGAGGGAAGAATGAGGATCGTGTCCCGAAATTTTTTATGAAGGCCACAAAAACAGAAGAATATAATAGTATACAGCTATACATGCATGATTTTTTTTTTCATAAAATCATAAGACATGATTTTAAGATAATTACAATTTCACAAAATACAATCTTAACTAAATTTCTACGTTTAATATGAATCAGTAAACTATTATATCAGTCATTACTTTCTTAAGTGAAAAGTGCATGTTTGTCAATATTAATATTTGAAAATTTTATTTATTCATTATGTATCCAAAATTTTATAAGAAAATATGGTTTTGTATCTTGAAGAACTTAACTAATCTAGTTTGGAGTTAGAGGATCTAAGAAGGTAAAGTATGAAGTAAATTCGAAACTAAAATTAATCTATATATTCATCGTATGTTCAAATTTATCCTTAAAGTGAGAATGAAAGTTGTGGAATTTATTTGATATTATTTGAATTGAAGGGATTTACAAAATTTAATAGATATAGGTTGAATTTGAAGAATTTACAAAATTGAACATCAAAGTTAGGTGAAAAAATTGACATAGTTTGAATTTGAAGGATTTACGCAACGGTAGTATGCAAGTTAAGTATCCAAATTGACTTTATGACAAAATTAAATATGAAAAGTAAAAAAATCCAAAATCGATATAATTCAGTATTGAACCCAACACCAAATAGCTCATGAAGTGACAACTTAAGCACAAAGCTAGAAGGAGAATGACTTTGTTTATTCATGACATACTATTATGTTTATATTATATTTAACTTTATAGGTAATTTCTAAATTGATTACCCTCGTAGACGTGATTTCCAAAATTCTCGGGACCTCTTAATAGCTCCTTCGCTGTCAGAACACTTACCACAGTTGAAAAAACCAAAACACTTTCGTTTGGTTCATGGATTTGAAAAATGAATGTGTTTGGTGAAACTTGAGTTTTGTAAAATCATGTATATATGAAGGTTTTTGGTTCATTATACACTTGTAAATTACCATTGTTTGTTTTATTGATTTCATGATGGATTTAGTAAATTAGATTTGTGTGCATGAAGCGAAAATAACCTAAATTACTCTCATTGGTATGAGAACAGAAAGATAAAAAGAGGGATATTTTGGTCATAAATGATGGACTTTAAAGTCAACGGTGAAGACCCACCTTAAGGGGTAGAATTTTCAAGTCCATGAGACCTGCAGATTTGGATCCTTAAAGTTCACGAAACCCACGAATTTGTTGCTATAAATTACATAAAACAAATAATATACTTAGAGAAATTCCACAAATATATCACCAAATCCATCAAACAAACTAGCCATTGTTCTTGAACCAGACCGGCAGACCACCAACGCAACTCCAAACTACCAACCGAAGCAACAGAGCAATTAATGAAGGTATCTGACCCGTAACAAACTCTGCTATTAATAATGGACGTACAGCCCTTGCCTGTCATTCTTGGCGGAAGAAAGACAATTAAAGAGCTTGGTTTGGTTGTATTGTACTCTAACTCTAGTGTAGGTTCTCAAAGGATGGGATGGGGACCGAGTGAGTGCGGCTGTTGTTTTGTTATTGTCCCCAATGCCACAAATCAATACAAGCTCGCTTATTCCCATACGGAACTCTCTCTACAAGCTCGTTTGTTCCCTCATTCCTTTTTTTCTCAATAACTACTGGTGGGGAAAGCATTACTCTTTTATTTTCCAGTTGGACGATATACAGTACTTGGAAGGACTGGAAACCAGTATAAGTTAACGACAAATTCCTGCCTATAGCAATAGCATCCCCTTAAATTATATCTCTTGGAAAATTATATGATATATGTGCCAACCACAAATATTCGACAAACAATACTCACAAGGCAGAAAATAGGCAAAAACAGAAACCAAACTGTAGAATACCAACAAAATGGAGGTCCAGCTTCAGTGTTCTACCGAAAACGTGTCCCAACGATATAGACGTTCGTTGCTCCATCTTGTTGACCTGAGTGCATGATAATAGAGTATATACTGCACTACACTAGTAAACTAAGCATGGTTAGTTTTTCAGATGAGTTGGGACTTGGGAGTGGCGATATGACATTCACAACTTTAGTCTTTAAATCACTATAAATAAGTGATTATATAGACTACCAGTCTACCACCACAATACTTGGACGATAATTAATTAAGTCAACTTTCTCATGCCAATTTACTCCGGTGGGATTAATAATGCAATATATTAACTCTATTCTCAAAATAATAACAAGCATAAGTAGTAAATAAATGACACTGGTGATTTACATGACATACCCTTGATTTAGGGGTCAGTCCATGAGAATAGTAGCTCCACAATATTTTTCCATTATGACAATAGTAAGTTAAATAGAGTTTCGTGATACAAGAAAATAGATTACACGGTGTTTATTAAACAACTTCACTATTTTCATTAACTAGTAAATTTCATATCCACCCGTGGTTGAAAAAATGTTTAATTTCTCAACCACTACCCACATAGAGTAGAAGAACCAAAGCTTAAGCAGAGCAATCAAAGGAAGAAGAATGAATGGATGGAGAGGGATAATGGGCGATTTAGAGTGCAACTCTACTGCATTTTTATCTGCATTCAAAAGCTTGGAGAATTGAATGCAAATTGGTGACAGATCGACCTCTCAATTAACTACATTACTTGTTTTATTTGATTTGTATCCTTTTTTTTATCAATTGAATCAATTGGTGTGACTACCTGTTAAGTTATGTTGACGGCTACACGATTCTCCCAAGCCCGGCTCATGGACGACTTTGTCATCCCTGTTGGGATCGACAAAATTCACTCTGATTTTCATAGAATACAAAGAGTCATTTTGGAGCTACGTCGAAGGCATTTAATGATGCACTTCACCATCTCCCAATGTTCATTTTCCCGTTTGAAAAGAAACTAACTGAGAAAACCAACCGAATGAGCAATCTTTTGTCTTGTACACATCATTTTACATTTTGGAGCTATCTTCACAAATCAATATTGGTCATGGTGATTCACAAATAAGCATCTAGGTTAACGTTTTTGGTTGTCTCAGCACAGTAGGTGAAAATATATAATAAATTCAATGCCCTTTCTTTGACTAAATCCTTTCAGGACTAGTCTCACTTTGAAATGTGGCTAATAGTCATGCTCATCTTGCTTGAACTACAACAACCACTTTTTTCATAGCTCTCTTGCCTTTTGGAAACTTCACTATCTCAAATGTCTTGGTTTTATGGTCTGACTTCATCTAGCATGGACTTCGCCTCGTTTTCATCATGAGTAACTTCTATAAAGCTATATAGCCCCCCCTCTGAATAACTAGCACAAAGTTCAAATGATAAATAGTAGTGTGTTTCACAGCTCTACTAGAGTTCATCATCTGAATCGGAGAACCCTCTACAGGTGGTGGTTGATCATCCCCATCGACCACTTTCGGCTGAACCTCAACAAGAGCATCTGGTTTAACTATCTTCGAATGATCATGTTTCACTTCCTCTCGAAATGTTTTAGGGACGACATTGGAGAAACTAGTCCATCGCTCATAGTAGGGGTGTTCAAATGGTTACCATGGTTATAACCAAACCAAATAAGGCTAAATTCCATTAACCATGGAATACAATATCATAACCAAACCGTCCAAACTAATGCAACAACCAAATTAACCAAACTAATGTTTAATCGGTTTGGTTAATTGGTTAACCAGATTAACCAATATAAAATCACATTATCATTGACGATGAAAATTTTTCGGTTAATGCAACAATTCGCAATTTATATAATGAATAAAACATAACAATCAACACGTAGTTATAGTTGACCCTTAACAAAAATACATGCAACTAAGACAATTATCTTACGATTAGTATAGAAGTATTCACCTAACAAAAATTTATGATAATGGTATGGGTTAATGAATTGTTGTGTTTGTGTAAATTGACTTAGTCTCTTAGCAATTATCATAGGCTGGAAATGACCTTCCTTTCAAGTTTTCATCCATCATAATGTATGAAATTTATCTAAATTATGCGTTCATATGTTGTGGTTTACATTTTACATATACAAATATACATTATATGAGCAATATTGAGCTTTATATTTTATGAGTCTAAAAGGGATGAACGTTAACGACTTGGTCAAATTAACAATTTTTTGTTGTCATTCTTCGATGGATAAAGTCCATCCATCTTATTCCATAAATTTTTTGCATCATTCTCACCAAATGTGATTGTAAACATTGTCATCGAAAAGTTATCGAATGTAGCTACACACTTGGCGATGCTCGAATTCTCAATACCCGTATTTTTGTCGACAAGTTTAGCTGAGCTAAAAACAACAAATGTAACTTCATCACGAAAAAAATATCCTTATTAATTTAATGTACTTTTATGCTAATGCACTATGATTTTACTGCCCTCTGAACTTCAAATCCTTATTCTGTCGGGGTGAAGGAAGAGTGTAATTGTCATAAACCAACTGGTCCCAATAACTCGATTTGTTGGTAGGGGTTCAATTATGGATCATTAACCACTTACTAACGCACCCCCTCAAACGAAAGCCACTCATATAGGCAGTAGGCTTGAAGTTTGCATAGCACCGAACGCCATGTGCTTAACAGGATATATGAGGGCATTGAGATTCGAACAGAAGACCTCTCGGTCACAAAAGACTCTGGTACCATGTCATAAATCAACTAGTCCCAATCATTCAAGTTGTTAGGAGAGATTCAATTATGCATCATATACCACTTACTAACAGTAATATGGTGGGTCACGGGACCCATCCTTGCTCAGGAGAAAAAAGGTAAATTAGGTACAATAGTTAATCGATAATTAAAATTAGAACGTGTTTAATTGAGAATGGTTGACCTTATTGTATGTATGATTACAAATTGTTTATTGACAATCTTCAAAATTTTATAACAAGTTACGCATAAAGGACAATTGTCCATATAATCCACTACAAATTAATGGGTTGCTTATCCCACATCAACAACAAATTTCCCTTAAATCATAGCTAACTTGTAAAAATAAAATTTATTTTAACCATACGAACGAGAGTGTAATAAGATGGTCCTCTAGAAGAAAATGGATACATTATATATCATAGCTAATTGATAATGAAAGTTAAGATGCGTATGATTAAAAAAAAAATAAAAATAAAACAATTTTATTACATGCCATTTTTCTAATTACGCCTCTATATTTCGTCCCTACTATGTATAATGAAGTCATTTTAATAGCGTCATCAATCTTTCATATGTACATATCATATTTGAATTTGTCTATCTGTGAATAAAAAAAAACTTTTGTGCATGTGCGTTCATGATATGATTTGGCGGGGTAGGGGTGGGGGCAGCATGGAAGGCGGCAGAGGTGGAAGAAGGATCCACCGTCGCCATTTTCGGACTCGGCGCCGTTGGGCTCGCAGTACGTACCCATTCCCATGCATGCATGCATGGGGCTTTCATTTATGATTTATCTTAGCAACATATAATATATATGTATTTATATCATAATATAGACAAATATTTAATTATCATAATGTTCGTACGTCATTTCTGAGGGAAGTCATTGAAAAGCTAGTAGTGATCGATGTTTTGGGAAGTATATAGATAGGGTGGCAGTAGCAGTGAGTTTGGGCAACTGGAACAAAAGATGTGTTTCACAAAAGAATAGCTAAACTCATGTCATGTGTGACGTTATCAGGTCGCAGAGGGAGCAAGAATGCGAGGCGCATCCAAAATCATCGGCGTCGACTTGAATGCTGATAAGTTTGAGCTAGGTATATCGATACAACGTGTATGTTATATTCAATCCTAAATTGATCCTGGTAGTAGGAAAAAACGAAGTCACTATATATCTAGCAAGATAGACCTTAATTTCTGGGAATTTATTTTGACTTACAGGGAAGCAGTTTGGGCTCACTGATTTCATCAATCCTACGACAATTGGTGATAAGCGTGTGAGCGAGGTAATTGGCAGCTCTATATCTACGGAGATGGGCCTACCTATATTTACATTACATACGATGCATGAGATCCATTGATGGAAATGGACGTAACAAAATATTAGACATTGATTGATTTTGTTTTTACAAATTATTATAACGATGATGACTGCAACGAGCGGATAGCGTTGAAGCTAATTTGGTGGTTTTGTGTCATTTAATTAATGGTTTAGGTCATCAAGGAGATGACAGATGGAGGAGCAGACTATTGCTTCGAATGCATTGGGTTGGCTTCTTTGATGGCTGAGGCTTTCTCTAGCAGCAGAGAGGTATTTGTTAAGTATTTCATTTCCATTAAAAAAGAAACATATTGATTTTTTTTATTTTATGAATTGAATGGATAATCATTGTACTAATTAATTTGTTTGTACTGTGACACAATATATATAGGGATGGGGAAAGACGGTGATAGTGGGGATCGAAATGCACGGCGCACCTTTAGTGGTGAGCCCTTACGAGATAATACGAGGGCGGAGCATTTGTGGCACCTATTTTGGAGGCCTCAAACCCAAAACTCACATCTCACTCCTTGCCAAAAAATACTTGGACAAGGTAACGTAATAGCCGTTCAAATTATTTTGTTGGAAAAATGGTTGATATGTGTTTGATTGATTGGTTGGTGGGGAAAAATTGCATGCTGCAGGAGCTCAACTTGGACCCCTTCATCACACATGAAGTTGGATTGAAAGACATCAACAGGGCTTTTGAGTTGCTGGCGGAAGGACAGAGCCTGAGATGCCTTATATGGATGGATGGATGCAAATAACTAGCTAACTGAGCCTGCACTCACCCACCGGATCATTATATGAGGATAAAAGCCTCGGAGACTGTTGAATAAAAGGGTTTTCATAAACGATCATCTAGGATATATAATGATACAATAAAAATTCACACATATATACAATTATTTGAATCGTATGTGCTTGTTGCTCAAATCCTGATGGAGGAGGAGAGTCGTAGCATTACTAAATGCTTTAGTTTTATTCCATGTTTGAGGGAGACCATTCTAATTAGAGCTAATACCACTACACCATCCGATCTAGAAAAAATGCTACATGTGTCCTATTTTTTTTAATATGACAATTCTATCCCAACATATATGAGAACTTTGTGTCAAGACATCTTACGTTGAACGTTAGAGATAACGGCGGACGAAAGTCAAACTGTTATTGTATTTGGCTGATCTGAAAGTCGATACCTTCCTGCGATCAATCCCTCTCAGGTGTTGGGCGTTTCCATCCAAGTGACCGGTGGGGATATATGCGAAAACTTTCAACTTATAAATCAGAATAAGGAATAACAACTAGCAAAAGTTTAACAAAGATAAAAACTAGGCATAATTAAAGGCAATTATCCTAATTATGCTCTCCATAGGTCTGATGGAAGTATATGTCATATGAGTTATCACCGACTTTTTAGAAGATGATTCATATTTCATATGAATTATATTTCATCGTATCTTACTTTTAACTATTATTAGATCTAATATGCTACGATGGGTCCTATAGATTTCTCTCTTGAGGAGCTTGAGTAGGTCAATCGATTGTGATAGATTGTTGTGTCCAGACTCATCCAACACAAAACTTATTCAAAGCTATCGACACGTGCGAAGATAGCTTTGATTAAATAGGCAATCTTATTGACAAGAAAACATACACAAAGATTGAATTAACATCCATAACGAAATCAGGCATCATCCCTAGTTTCAACACAATCTCTACAATATAGGGATTCAGCTATCCATAAATACATAAGAAACAAGAGATACAAGAAGGATAGATGTCACTATGATGATTTCTTACTTGATTCTTGACTTTCTTATTCGTTTTGAGGGTTAGGAGCTTCTCTAGATCGTATTTTCGTAGCTAAGCCCTACTGAGTTTGTCCACATGACATATATGACTGTTTGATCCTCATAAATTTATCCATCTATACGCGTTTTCCATAATGGCGTGTTTTTTAGTCGGCTAGGCTGCCATTTTGGGCTTTAGGCAGACAGCTATTTTGCTGCTTGACTTGTTCGGGTCATATCTCACTCATCCAACCTCTGAATTCGTCCCCGTTTGAACCAAGACGATCGTATTATCACCATCTTTTATGTCATTATCATCCTCTCTGATTTATCTTTCATGGTTGGATATACCTTTACTATGAAAACGCTATCTAGATCTTGAATTAACAGGATTTTTGGACATGATACTATACTTTTAACCCTTAATGAGTAAATCCTAGGTCTTATTTATCTAAATCATAAACTATAAACCCTAAGACGGTGCTTTCAAATTTTTGCCTATATTTGGATGAATCATAACCGTAGATTATTATTTCAAATTAAATTGATCTTGGAGTATAAGATTTAGAGAATTAAGACCTGGATTTTGATCTTGAATGGTTAGAGTAGTCGAATTGGATCGCTAACCATATTATCAAGGCAGCTCATTAGTTGAACTCAATGAGTCACTGAGTCGATCTAGCTCGCGAGCCTCGTGAGCCGAACAAGGATGAGCTCAGGCTTGGCTTGTTTACTAACGAGCTGAGTTATGAATGAGCTTTTTCCTAATCAAGCGTCGAGCCGCTCATGAACAATTTGGCTCATTTGCAGCCCTATGTACAAGTATATCTTAATTAAAGTAAAACAAGTTGAAGTCAGATGTAAACTTACCAACAAACCAATAATGACACCACCTTTTGGTGAACTTGCGGCACAAAACCATGCACTCGTCTTGTTACCGCATTGGCCTTGTCATTGGGTCATCATAAACTATGAATGTCACTCTATTATCCCATATGTTAATATAGTAGTCGGGTTTCCTTTGATAATTGGTTGTACTACACCTCAAGTCCTTATTATGTTTGTGTAGGTCTTTAAACACGACCAGTGGTGAGGCAGGGTTTGGTTGATATTGCCTCATGTATCTACTCAGGGACATGATACTCGGTAATATTCCAAAAAATGAGGGCGACCTTGGCATGACCAATTCGCTTGATCCTTAGGGTGTAGCAAGTGGTTCACCTTTACATACCCTGGGGATACATATTCCATTCCACTTGAAATAACAATGAGGTCTAATTAGCATACTCTACTTATCACACTCAAAAATTACAAACCATAGCAAATAGGTTATTTGGTTAACTCGTTGACCCAAAGATAGTCAAAGTGCAGATGGTACTGCTCTAGAGAGTGCTCTGATAAGTGGTCTCTTATGGTAAATCCAAACCACCTAAGAAAAGTGGCTCACTTTTACCAACACAACTTAACTACGACCAAGTATAATCATAATTTAGGTATGCAGTATAGTGGTTCAGGTTCTACATGTCAACCCGGGTCCTAGGTATACTGTTACTCCGCGCAATTCTATAATATAAACTAAAGTAAGCCACTTTTCGTAGGTGGTTTGGATCTACCAAAAGAGACCACTGATCAGAGCACTCTCTAGAGCAATTCTAAATGTCAACCCGGGTCCTAGGTGAAAGTCAAGTGAAGTTTATTATAAACTAAAGCAAAACGAAAGACAGTAAATGTTCTGGGTTTTCAAGTATGAGAAAGGTCAGCCAGGTATGTGTCCCCCTAGTCTGCAGTTAAGTCATGTTTTAATCCCCCAAGTTCATTTCAATTGACAAATATACTGACGAAAGTTCTTCACATGTCTGGACTCTCGACTAAAGCATTCCAGATCCTCTGGTCAGTAATGACAGTCTTTTTTGGATACCGGGCATGCGACTAACCTCCACCGAAATAAGCTAATCGAGGCACTACCACATAAAACTTCCTCTACTAGATTTCGATTTCAGTACAGAGCAGTAAATCGACTTCTCGACTAAAGCAATCAATTCACAACTTCCAATTAAGGTTGCTCTTTTAACCTATGTAGGGACTAACGTTCTAAAGTAAAGCAGAAATCACAGGAATTTGATCAGGACTCATGCCTTAATTGAATATATGATAGTCAATCATCCATGAAAATGGATTCATACAATCATTCCTAGAATACACGACAAGGGTTCTTCAAAACCTAAGTGAAGGGAAGTCACTCCATAGAGATGAGAGAGAATACGGTATATCTTTCCAAATCTTCAATCTTCATGTCTAGGCTTGTTCATCAAGCTTCAAAGGCAAAAAAAAAAAAAAAAATCCTCCAATTATGTTCCCAGGTCGCCCTCAAATCACTCTCTCATTCTAGGGTTCGTCCATTGGGTGTTCGAGATCCAAAACCCAGCCCCCCTCTCCAAAAATTGCAAAATAGCCTTTATACCCGAAGCTGAAATTTGCACCTGCCAGTATGAACAGCCGTGAAAATCAATGCACTTCCCGTACAAACTCCAGAACGCTCCATTTCACTTGATTGAGAAAGGGGGAAGGCACGCCCTTGATGTGGAAAAGCACGGCCATGTAAATTGGGCTCCTGGCTGTGCAAACCCTCTGGAAACCTTGCACGGTCGTGTAAATATTTGCACGATCGTGAAAATTTTCCAACATGCACTGCTAAGCTCCGTTTGAGCTCGTTTGAGCTCCGATTGACTCAAAACCTGCGCCCAAGCCTTCCTTTACTTGTTAGGGCTTGAAATACATCAAAGGAGCAAAAACTAGCATAGAATAGGCCAAGTAATGATCAATCTCCAAGCTAAACAATCAAGAAATTGAGGGGAAAACATGTGCAAATATAGTGTTATCACAAGGAATATTAAACTTTGTGTTAAGATGAATGCAAGGAATATATCAATATCGAAACTCAAGACAAAATAGAAACAAAAATCTATCATAATAACTGGAAAAGAATAATAATATACCTAACACCATAAGGGTTTTTTCCTAGTTCCTCATTGTGAGCCCAATCTTTGCTTGGAAAGTATGGTGCAAAAGTTTAAAGCTAGTCCCAAGTCCAAAGTTAGATGGTCAACATGTGATACATTCATAGTTATACATATCTTAGACCCCATTAGTTAGATGTTTGTAGCATTTTACCTCACAAACTTATTTACTTTGGCCATTTTTACGCTAGGTTTTGCTTTCTTTGTAGATTCTAGGTCCTAATGTATCAAGGATGTTTGAGAGCAAGTTTCAGAGCATTTGGAGTCCATTTGGAGCAAGCAAAGGAGAAAATCCTAGGAGAACAAGACATGTTCATCTTTTCTTCTTTGTTTGAGCTCTCTTTCCCTATGAGATAAGCTTTTCTCTTCACTTGGGTTTGAGGAACCCTAGCTAGATGTAGTTGCATAATTGTTTGTTTATAGCCATAGACTTGTAATCATTCTATCTCATTATCTAATTCATGTTGATTGATGTTCTTAACTTTTTCATGCTTGATTTGGGGGATTGTGTTTGACCTAAGAGAGAGAAAATCTAACTAGGTTAAGTTGGGCGTGCTTGGGTTATAGAAACTTGATTGATTGCATTAATCGTGAGTCAATTATATCATCTATACTAAGTTTATGATGTTTCCTCCAATTTATATATATCTTAAGGTGAGCCTTAACCTAGGAGAGAGAAATCTAATTGGCTGATTGAGCATATATGGATCGAGGTACCTTGTTGATTGCACGAGAGTCAGTCAACTAAGGTCATGTGTAGTGAGTGAAAGCCATCTAGAGGGAATCCATAGCTTAAATGCTTGTTTAGGTGATTAGTTTGTAGAGAAATATCGCCTAATTAGCTAAACTAAAAAAACTTAAATGTCTTAATCGAGATTCAAGGTCAATTAATGGTGCCCTCTAGTATAGGAGTGGAGTGGATATTTCATTGATTTGAATTGAGATGGGATTGCTTTTGGATGTTGATTTTGCAACATACACATGTATTTCTTGTTGGATTCCCAATCATTGGCCATGTTTGGGGATCGTATGTGAGATAGTATCTAATATACTGGCCATGTTTGGGGATCGTATATGAGATAGTGTCTAATAGACTACGGCTAGAAGGCTCTATCTGTAGGGGAGTAGAAGGGATTGCATTAATCGTGAGTTGCTTCTATTTGGTGATCTAGGGTGACATAGAATAGGGACTCAAAGATCAGTATTTCTACAATTAAGCGATTA